TTGATCATATTGGAGGATATTTTTCAAAGTATTATCGAAGTATTAACTTCACAGGCCAATATTAATACGAATAGTTTCATGCCAAAACTTAGCTGAATATTAAAAAAATATCAACCGAAAATTTCATTAAATACTCTGCCAATTAACGTTTCAATAATTTGCAATTTTAGGAATCCACGAGATTATTGAAAGTAGCGGAAATATAAACAATTATTTAAATTAAGATATTTTGCCTATTTACCCATTTAATAAAAAAAATCAAATGGTCCTGCTGTGGGTTTAAGTGTGAGTTTAATTTTTACTTTTTTGGGGGAAATTGGCATTAGGAACAGCCTTGAAGGACTTAATGGTCAACTGATGTTTGTTTGCTTTTAAGCGCAAAGCTACACAACGGTCTATCTGCGCTGTGGCCGCTGCAGGTATTGAACCCTATTTTTACTAATATCACAAGCTTACTGCTGAGCCTGTTCTCCAGTGGGACAGCGGTAAGTCTTGGAATTTACAACACTAAAATCAGGGGTTCGATTCCCCTCGGTGGACACAACAGATAGGCCGATGTGGCTTTGCTATAAGAAAAAAACAAACAAACACAAACTGCTGAGCCTTCGAGAAGTATTAGTATTTGTCTGTAAGGTTGTGTTATGAATTACTGAAATCAATTATTCCTCGAAGCAAAATAAGCCTGCATTTGTTTTTATTTGGATATTAAACTTTATTACAGTTGTGGATCAAATTTTTTTCATTCTTCTGATTCTTATTTTACTCGTTTAACGTTTTGTTGTTAAACTTTCAGATATACGAAACCGGCAGAGGGAGCTAAACTAGCAGCACGTGTGTTAGTTGTCAAACCGGCCTTGTGGTGTAGGCGTACTCTTTTCTTCTTCAAGCCAGTCATTGACCGGTGTTTGCTTCACTCGTGTGGAGGCTTCTCGTATCTGTTCCTCATTGCTCAGTCGAATGTAAGCGTAGTTTTAAATATTATGAGAGAAAGTTAACTGGTATAATTCGTTTTGTTGTAGGTGTCGAATATAGCTATAACAGTATAATTGTTGTAAATTATATTGTAAATTAACGTTAATTCGAGTTTGACGTTAGTTTAACTTAAGTACTAAAAGTTTCGACGTCATATCCTTCGCGTTATTTCATTTCTTCTCAGCTTACCGAGTAAGTTACTAAGAGTAAGATGTAAACGCTCACGTCTCGTGCACTTTAAGTTTAAATTAAGAAAATGAGCAAAGAAACAGTTTGAAAAAAATCCAATTTTCATTAGTTTGTGCTGTTTTTTTATTTATTATTTAACTAGTTTGTAAAAACACAGAATAATAGGAAATTTTCAAATTGTGGTCCGCAGCTCGTATTAATAGTAATAGGCATAGCGTTTTACCTAAGACTAAAAACGAAAAATTCGTCAGCCATAATTGAAGGACAAGGTTAGACTTGGAGCAGTGTGGTATGAAATTAAAGTAAACGTTATATTGATACATTTGAAGTGTATTAACCTATGGTTAAACTTTTGCGTTTTTGAAACCTTCAAAAAAAAGTTTTAAGAAATGTCTTGAACAATTTATGTAATGGACGTAAAATTTGAGCTCAGTACTTCAAAGGTGGTATTTATGAAAATTCACGATGTGCGAATATTGGAATGTTATTGTTTAATTGTTTGCAGGGGTTATTTTTTACTTCTAGCAAAAAAGCGTAATTTAAATGCCCATCACAACTCGTACAATATAATATTTAATGTTTGAAACCAAATTGGCATGTATCATGTTATTTGAATTAGGGAGTAAATAATTTTTTGTTTAATACATGTTACCATATTTGGAAAATGTTGTGTGTTTAAAACTTGTGCTTCAGTACTAAATTATTAATTTATTTGATCATTATAAAATGTTACCTTGTAATTTAACTGCGCTTATTTGAAAGAAAGCTGCATGACTGGACATTTGTCTTCATGCATAACTTTTTTCACCGGGAAGGTGAGATATGTTTAGACGAGCGTTTCTCAAACTGGGTAGTTATACCCCAAAAGAGGTTCGCAAGGCTATTGTAGGGGGGTTCGCGAGATCATAAAAAAAAAAAAAATTGCGATAACAAATATTTGGAGTACTTAAAGTAATTTGGTATCATTTTGTGCGTGTGTGGGGGGGGGGGGGCGTCACAACCTAAAATAAGGGGGAGGGCTAGCAAAAAAGTTTGAGAACCCCTGGTTTTGATTAAGCACTTATTTAAAGCAGCATATCTGTACGAGTCGTATTAAACCCTGAAAGGAAAGGAATATACTTCTTAAAGAAAGTACAATATTGTAATGTTTCCCGCTGTTTTTTGTAATGAAGTAGGCCGAAAGGAAATGTATTTTATAATGCTTCTCGTTTTAATAAGAATAAATAATTATATTAGTTCGTATATAGAATCATGACACGCGTGGAATTCGAATGAAGTACATAAGTAGTTCGGTAGCAGACGCGCACGTTTACCATACGCTGTGGATCCCTTAATCTTCCCTAAGTTAAGAAGGACCTATGCACACGGGTCGGATACCCTATTTGAACTAATATCGACCAAGAGAATAATACAAGTTTTCAGTAATGTGTGTATTTCAGTGTTAAGTAGAACTGTATGTATGCGGTGTTTGCTGGAGATATTTACTGTTTTAAATGAAATAAGCCGAGATTAGCAAGCAATGTGTTAAAGACGTTCTGCTAGCAATGAAAGTGATTGATGAAGCATGCGCAATAGGATAGTAGGATGAATTACAAAACAAATTTAGGGTATTGAAAACAATTAATAGTGTAACTTTGTTTTTTTCATGGACATGCGTAGTAACAGCACCTATCATTTGTGTAACTGTTTTTTTTTTCATGGACATGCGTAGTAACAGCACCTATCATTTATGCAACTGTTCTTTTTTTTCATGGACATGCGTAGTAACAGCACCTATCATTTATGTAACTGTTTTTTTCATGGACATGCGTAGTAACAGCACCTATAATTTATGTAACTTTGTTTTGTTTATAAGATTTTTTCTAAAGAAACTTAACTGTATGAAGGCTGCTGTAAAAATAAATCTATTCTATATTCTACACGTAGCTACAATGTCGGGGGTACACTTCTTAGTGGATGTTGAAGGTGGTGCTTCAGTTCCGTTGTCACCAAGGGATGACAATGCTGTGGGTATGGCATTGGATTTTGACCCTTTGAGCTTCGAATTTAATGAATATACATCAAATTCGACCAATACGAAAGTTGAATACACTCGTACTGTTGAAGTATCTCAGGATGTTTCATCTAAATTGGTTGATCTAGACACGTTTGATCCTTTTGTCTCAGCATCATTGGAGCCCGATCAATTTTTAGCCGAAGAAGAACGTAGGAAAGATTCAGAAAATTTTTGTATGCATGAGAAGGAAGTAGAATACTCTTATGAAGATGGACTAGATTTTCATCAGGAGTTTGAGGTAGGTTTTGACAGTTCCATACCACCAGACTCCTTAGAAGTTTCTAGTTGCCAAGAGCTCGAAGACGGACAATTCCAACATTTATCAGCAAAGAAAGAGACTATTTTTTATACAGAACCAGATTGTCCAGTAGTCACTATGACCACCACTTCAGTAGTTGAGAATGTTCAACAAGCTTCTTTTGAAAAAGAACAGGAAGAAGGCTTAGAGTTTGAGAGAGAAACGGATGACTTGTTACAAGTAAGAAGTTAGAGAGATTATAGAGTTAATATTATAAACTATGTAAAAATATGATACATTTTTATTTTGTGAAAGTTTAGAGAAGCAGTAAAAGCTTGACTCTACCTATTGTGTGTGTGCGTGTGTATTATATGAAGATATGTTTATTGGATATGTTTGGATTGGTATAGTATAACTAATAGAAGGTTCTGTATACACGTTGAGTGATTGTTAAAAGCATTCATAATATTGTGTTGAGCAGTATGTTTTTAGCACATTATACAGTATTTAGTTAAAAATAGCTGATGGTGAAATTTTACTGTCAGTAAAGATGTATATAAAGTTTGGTGTATTTTACCCAATCTGTGTTACAAGTTATTTGTGTGTGATATATTGTTTACTTTTTCAATAAAACATCATTCATATTAGTTGCATGCGTTTTCAAGATGGGGTATAAATGTACCAAAAAGCTAGTCAGTGCTGCCATCTGCTTGTAGGCGATGAATGTTTTTGCATATAATATAGTTTTGAGAAACACAAATAAAGCCAAAAAGATTGAATTTAGTCAGAGAGTACCAATCTACTGACAATGTTTGAATGTATTCTTATTGTAAATATCTATTATATCTCATTACTAAAAACTTAGCATAAAACTGTCAGTTTGGATATTGTTTCAGGTACCCATGTTTATATATTTATTGAAAATACTAATTTTTTTTTACACAGCTACATGAATTGCTAGGTGATTTGACTTTTACAATTTTTCTTTTATCTGGAATTACAGATGTGTCACAGTGCAGTTTTCTAAACAATAATTGTGTTTAGTTTATCCTCTGTTTTATGAGTTTACTATTTATGAAAACTGTAATTATTAATGAAGGTATTTTATCATAGAGTGAATAAATTGAGAACAAAGATATAAATTGCATAAAATTTAAAGGTATAAAAAGGAGCTTATTAGTCCATCAAGGATGTTTCTTTCAGATCCCAACTATAACCACCCCTTACCCATCAAGTTAAATTTTTTGCCTCCACCATCCTTGAAGGCAGCTCATTCCAAAAGTCAACCACCCTGTTTGAAAAGTAATACTGTCTAAATTGTAGTCGACTCCTACACTACCAAAATTTGAATTTATGACCCCTTATCCTATTGTATTCACTGCTAAACACAAAGTTTGATGAATATATATTATCAATAGCCTTCGTAATCTGCGGCTGAGAGATGATCCACTGTGTCATATGGGCCTTCCCACGGAGAAAACAACTTAGGAGACTTCCCTTTGGTCTTCCTGGGATTATACAACCACACCTTGTCTCCTGGTGCAAAGCTGACTTCAGTAGATCTCTTATCATAACATTGCTTCATGGAATCAGCAGATGTTTTCAAGTTTGAACACACTTGATAATAAATATCATCCATCCTTTCAGATAACACTTTCACAACTTTCACTGGCACATTTTCAGGCAACTCTTCGTAAGGTGGGCATCCTGTTATCAGGTCCACTGGCAACCGAAGTTCCCGACCAAATATCCAGTGGTTTCATGCTCTGCTGTCCTATAGGCCATCAACAGTGGAGGGAGTAAGACATTCCAGTCATTTTGGCGTTATTACAAAACTTTGCCAATTTCTGTCCCAGTGTCCAATTGTACTTTTCTACCATCCCATCAGACTGTGGGTGAAGTGGCGTTGTCCTGATCTTTCGTATGCCAAACGACTTGCAGCATTCGTGGAACACAGCTGATTCAAAGTTACGGCCTTGATCTGAATGCAGTTCATATGGCATACCAAACCTGATGAAGAAATCACTAATAGTCGAAGCTACAGTTGTAGCTTCCTGATTTGGTATTGCATATGCCTCAGGCCACTTGGTGAACTAATCCATCATCACACAAATGTACTTGTTTCCAGCACGAGTTTGGGGCAATGGATCAGCAATGTCAACGGCTACTCTTTCCATTGGTGTGCTAACTTGATATAATTTCATTGGAGCACATCCCTTATGCTTGGGTCCCCTTTTAGCACAACATGTACTGCAGGTCCTGCACTATTCTTCCACATCTTGTCTCATACCTAACCAGTAAAATTTCTGCCGTAGGTGAATCAATGTCTTCTTAACTCTAATATGTCCTCTTGTTAAACTATCATGGGATTGATGCAGCACAACTTCCCGTAACTTTCTCGGTATAACTGTTTGCCAGGTCAATACTTTCCCATCTCCGGACAAGAATACCATTTTCAAGCTTCAACTGAACCCATTGTGCCCAATAGATCTTTGTCACAGGGCTTAAGCTAGATACCTTCTCCCAAGCAAAACGCAAAACACTTGCTTGTAGAAAATCAATTATAGTCTTCAAAACTTGGTCTTTCTCCTGCTCTGCTTTAATAGCTATATTTGGTTCCACTTCACCATCATCAACTTCTTCAGTCACTTTGACTTCAGCTTGATGGCACTTGGTTAGTTTAACCTCTCTCTTTTAACACTTACTGGAATTTGGCCTTTGTTGTTTCCAACTGTCATTTTATCAAAGTTAACTACACACTTCCTCAATAGTAAGTAGTCCAACCCTAATATGCATAGGTCTTCAATGTCA